GTGTAGAATAAATTAAAAAATTTCTCTATTTAAAGGGTCTAAGATCATGTCATTGAATCAATTAACTATATATACATGAATTAAAGTAATAAATAGAGAATTACCTCTTGTAGCATAAGTCTAAATTCTTTAGCAGAAAAGCCCTTCAAGTGTTCGATTTCTATTGATAATCCACACGAGTCGAAGCACCCACAAAGAAGCACTTAAAATCGATAGAGTGCTAGCTTCACCTTTTCTGATTTGCATAGTATTTTCTATAAAAATACAATCCGGGCAAGTTTATGATAACCTAGAGAGGAGGTGGCGTGCTAGGATTAGAGAGAAAATAATTTTCTTCTTATTTTTATTTCAGCCACGTGTCCTTTTTATTATTTTCTAAGTGTGTTGAATTTTCTCTCTTAAAAACTTCCTTTTATGCTACACCTTTCCTTCTATTTATAGGAGGAGAGTTTCCTTGTCCTTTAAGGACAACGAGAGAGGCTGCAAATAAGTCCTAATTGGACTTATGATTGTTGATTCCTAATCCTTTAAGGATTAGGAATTATTTTTCATGTGAGCTTTTGATCTTTATCTTTAAAACATTCATCTTTATCCAATGAGGTTGATGTTTATACTTAAAACATTCATCCTTATCTAATAAGGTTGATATTTATCCTCCCAATAAAATATCTTAAGGCTTTTAATTAAACCTAATAGGTCAAAACCATTATGGTCCAATTAATTTATTTGAACTATCTAAATAAATAATCTTAGATAATTTTAAGCGGTCCACATTAGGAAACAATTTCTCAGAATACCCTCTAACCTAAATTAGAAAACTCATTTCCATTTAAGGTTATTTATTTTCAAATTTGGAACTAACTTCTAAATTAGAAAACTGATTTCTAAAATAGAAAAATTTTCGAGTTTTGGAAACCTTTTTCAAAATAGAAAACTTTTAGAATTAAAAACTTTTTTCAATGTCTTTGCTTCTCTTTAATTATGTGAATGATTAAACTTATGCGTGTGACTCAATAGGCTCTTAGATATGTTGACAATGTACCAAGAACAAAAGACTCATCTCTTATCTCTTGATACATAAATCAAAATTGACCTCTAGCAAGGCATTATAACTATCCAATTCTCTAGGAGGATTAATTAATCCATTATTATTTTTCACGAGCATGGTTACCATACAATTTAGTCCTTATGTCAACTTATCACAATGTGATCTCGAACTTAGTTATAAGTCTTGTTCGATTTTGATCACATAAGTTTTTTTGAATCCCAAATGTCTTAGCTCTTAGAGTAAACCAACTATGTTTTATTGGTGTGCTCTTATTGTGGCCATAGATTTCTCGAGCGAGACATTCATCAAAGTGTAATGTGATAACTCCTTTGGAATACAAGGAATGACATATCATATCTTAGTCGTAGACCTACCTCCATTAGATTTCTAGTGCATCCAACGAATCGCCTACGTGCAACCTTTTACTAGATCTATTAAAACGAGTGTCAAAGTACATAAATCACTTAATGAGATAACCATGATAACTTCAAGTCTAAGGATCAGCTATACCCATTTCGTATGAGATTCCCATAGAGTAAACCAAATGGGTTCTCATGGTGAGTCAAGTCCGAGTGATATGTTCTCTAATATAAATCACCTAAGTGCTTGTTTTGGTATCACCATGTCAATAGGTGTAAGATCTCTTACTCGCTATCATATAATATGAGCACAACACTCACAAATCTATCCGCATATAGTCAACGTCGATTGTTGATAATGCTACGACTTTGAGACGTTTAATGATATTATTTATATGCATTAGTGTTTGTCTCACATCTTTTAATCAATCACTATTGCAAATGAATATCACAATGACTTCTATTTAATTCTACCGAATTACTAAATATAAAAACATAAGAATTAATAGAATGACTTCTTTATTATTATTAAAATAAATGATGCAATAATAAATAATTCAAGCCCATCCAAACATGGTTGGATCTTAGGCACCTACACTAACATAATGCATATTACAATTTACTAAAAAAATTATTAGTGTATATTTAAAAAGAAATTACTGAAAATTTTAGTATAGATCCATTGAAATGAGTGTCAAATTATATAAATCATCTAATGAGATAACCGCGATGACTTCAAGTCTAAGGATCGACTGTACCCATCTCGTATGAGATTCTCATAGAGTAAACTAAATAGGTTCTCATGACAAGTCAAGTCCGAGTAATATGTTCTCTAATATAAATCACCTAAGTGCTTGTTTTAGTATCACAATGCCAATAGGTGTAAGATCTCCTATCGTTATAATATAATATGAGCACAACACTCACAAGTCTATCTGCATATAGTCAAAATCGATTGTTGATAATGCTATGACTTGAGACATTTTATGATGTCATTTATATGTATTAGTGTTTGTCTCACATCTTTTGATCAATCACCATTGCAAATGCATATCACAAGGACTTCTATTTAATTTTACCAAATTAATAAACATAAAAACATAAGAATTAATAGAAAGATTTCTTTATTATTATTAAAATAAATGATGCAATAATAAATAATTCAAGCCCATCCAAACATGGTTGGATCTTGAGCACCTATACTAACATAATGCATATTACAATTTACTAAAAAATTGTTAGTGTATATTTAAAAAGAAATTACTTTAAATTTTAGTATAGATTCACTTATAGATGATTTTCGTGACTTGAAGGAATGAAGACTCTATTTTGAGTGATTATATTTTAAGACTATTTTAAAATATATGCTGATATGTTATTTATAATATATATAAGTTTATGTAAATTATGATAAATTTAAAAATATTTATTTTGGTCTCTATGGATATTTAGTCCCGCATCCGACACTCGTATCTAAGTAAAGAATGGAACAATCCGAGAAAGCACCAACATTATACTTGCATCAACATAGATATAAAGAAAGTTAAAAGAACATTGATTTGTAACTCCCTAATTAATGCACTAAGTGTGAATAATCTATTTAAGAGTCAACTCGAAATGACTTGATAATTGGTCCGAGAATATATATAGATAAATAGAAGAACCAAAAAAAGTTTGCTTCTTACGTCTAAATATCTAACCAACTCAATAACTTATAATGTAATATTATATAGGTACATAGATAGGGATTCGGTTTCTCTTAAGTTGATGCCAATATGACGTATCCTCGTTAATTTAATCCTAATTTTTAAAATTAAATGAAAATTTAAGATTTTATTAGATTAACTTAATCCTAATCTCTTAAATTAATTGAAAAATTAAGATTTTTATTGCTAAAACAAGTTAATTCGGGAGCAACTTATAGCCATACAATGATAGGCCTTTACAAGCAATTTTATCAATTTTATGCCAATATGATGTATGATGTTTGCATTAAAGATAGAAATATATAACCCTAAAACAATAAAAAGCTTCAATATGCAATGATAATTGCACGATAGAGGATAAGTTGTTGGACCATTGATAAATGAGCTAGTCTCTTGATGAATTTTTTATCAATGTGTAAAATTTAAATTTTAAAATTGTACTTATTGAGAAAAGTTAAAACCTATCCTTTTCATCCCGAACAGAATTAGTTCTATCTTAAAACTTATCGCTTTCATCTCAAACAGAATTAATTTTATTTTTAATGTGAGATGTGGATACTTAATAAAAAGATTGATTTACATAGCTTTGCAACTAAGATTATCCATTTCCTATCAATGAATAGTTTGTAGGCTTTGGTGACGGCAGATAGTTGAAGAAATCGATAGCTCGACTTTCTCGTGGCCAAAGGTTTTGACAACGAAATGACGGTTCTTTAGCGACCAAAAATTTCACATGCATAAACTTTTTTTTTTTTTTTTTTTTTTTTTGTAGTGGTAATTCTGCAACTAAACATAGCATTGTGCTTATAAATCACAATCACTGTCCCAAACATCAAGCTTAGTAAAAGTTTTAAATCATAAGCATTGTCCCAAACATCAAGCGTAGTAAGAGTTTTATCATATTGCCGTGGATTAGTTACCTGGTTCATAACCTAAGCTTATAATTTGGCGTTCGCCAACTTCAAAATTTGTCTTATGTTCCATAATATTCTGCCTCTTGCGGAAACCTATAAACGACATGAACACACATTTATATGTGGCAATAAAAGCAGCCATGCCCCGGCTCCATTCCGAGTTTGCAAAAGCTAGTTATCGCAAAAACATACTGTGAAAAAACATCTACAGCATTTATAGAGCTTCATTAAAAGATGCAGGCAAGCCAAAAAAAAAAAAAAAAAGAAAAAAGAAAAAAAAAGAAAGAAAGAAAATCTTTATCCAATAATTAAGTTACTACAAGCAAAACAAGCCATAAATATTCAGTCACTAACCTGTGAATAAGTACTGATTAATGTTAATAACGGGAGATTGGTAGCAGTTTCTTCTAATTGCAGCTGGTTGAAGTCTTGAAGAATAATAATGCAGGATGATGGTCTCCATGAGAGGATTTAATTTGAACCCAAAAAGTTACCACTCTATATATACTTTGAGTATGTTTAGCCAATGGTGGAGATTTTGGCTGGAGTTCATCATCTTGATAGATCACAATTGACACTGATACCGTGTTGTACCAAGTCCATTCTCTATTTCCTAGCGTAGAGCCAACAGGTGCAGAAACGGCAGCGTTTCGATCCGATGGAAAGATGAGCTGCGGAATGGTCTAATATAGTAAGCGTGGTATCATTGAAAAGATTATTATCTACTGGTAGTGCAGCGTGTATCTTCACCTCTAGTTGGCCGCCAATCAGATATTTTGTATCTTCTTTTCAAATCACAAATTATCTTAAAAAACATTGCATCATTATCCAAAACAGATTTTTTCTTACCCGCCAACCAAGCAAGTCCATTCACCCTTCCCCTCAAAACTTTAGCGGAAAATGGAAATTTTTGTTTTCACTTTCCTCTAATTCGATTCGCTCCTCTCAAATTCACTCAAAATCCCACTTTCTAATGGCTCTTCTGTTCAATTCACCAGAAATCTCCACCGTAAAAATCCTCTTTAACCCTAATCCTAGAAATCTCAAGAGCCTTAATGTTCGTGTTAGGGCTAGAAATGATGTTAAAGATTGTGAGGCTAGGGTTTCGGGATTGAATCAAAATGGGAGGTTGTACGGTCAATTTTCGGCTCCGGTGAAACAAGAAACGAAGATCACTAAAGAGGAAGAGGAGAAGCAGAATTACTATGTGAATATGGGTTATGCGATTAGGACTTTGAGAGAGGAGTTTCGTGAGTTGTTTTATAGAGAGCTCAGTTTTGATATCTACAGGTTTGGATCATGTTTAATTTTTGTTTCTTTAGTAAGAAATTGACTTTTTGAATCTGTGTTATGTGTTGCTTTTGCTTTAATCTCTGGGACCATGGCTGATTCTTATATAGCTGTTGTGATTGGAAGGGTTTGGTTGCGAATTTCAGGATTGTTTATGCTAAAGATTAAAATTGAACTTGGATTTCTTGTCCCTAATTTCCATTTGGTGAACAATAACGGATGATCAATACAGGCAAGTGGGACCAAAATGATCAAATTGCAGGAGTTTCAGTAGTATCCTACTACGGGAAGCGGCTAGATAGGACTAGATTGCTTGGCCTTGTGGTAACAAGTTTAAAAGATTGTTTACCTTTTATTTTCAGGGATGGATATAACTGATTTCATTCTTTGTCTGTCACAGAAATATAGAGCTCATATGTTTTGTAATCTTGTTAAATTTAGAGATGCGAGTGCGCAAGCAGAAGGGTATTATTGCTTTGATCTCTAATGCGACAAATAGGTTCTTGTAAGTTCAGATGATTCTCCCAAAATAATTGGAGATGCAGTGATATGGGATGGTATGCGACTGTTATCTGGTAGATGAAAAAGCAGCGGTACTGTTTTCACTGTCATTTAAAAGGGTTTGCTTGAGAACGGTTGATGATCTGCTAATTTGTAGGAGATACAACACGCAGGCACATAGATACACACAAACACACATAGTGAAGCTGAAATGAGTTCCTTAGTCGTGTATGCCAAACAACTTGTATGAAAATTATTCTATTGGTATTTTAGAGGTGCTATTATGAGGAAATTATTTTCTTTAATGGATTCTGTACTTGTTTCAGGGATGACATTGTCTTTAAAGATCCGATCAATACCTTTAGCGGCATTGAGAGTTATAAATCAATGTTCTGGGCTCTGCGATTCCATGGAAGGATTTTTTTAGGGCTTTGTGGGTTGATGTCGTTAGTGTGTCGCAACCTGCAGAGAATGTGATAATGATTCGATGGACAGTCCATGGCATCCCACGAGTCCCATGGGAGAGTTGCGCTCGATTTGATGGCCTATCCGAGTACAAACTTGACAGCAAGGGGAAGATTTTTCAGCATCGGGTTGACAACATTGCTCTTAATTCACCTCCAAAGTTTCATGTGTTGACTGTGGAGGAATTAATCCAGTCTATCGGTTGCCACTCAACCCCAAAACCGACTTTTTTGAAGTTTCACCTTCCTTAAAGAATAATGAGAGTTTCTAAAGTTCTTATCAAATTTTGGCATATGATGGACTAATTATAAAGCTTGAGTTTGGCATCCTCTTCTGTGTATAAAAAACTCAGCTTAGTTTTTTAGTATGTTGCAAATTTTTTATGAGGGTGATAATTCGCTGTAGCAAATACTGTATCTTTAAGCAATATTGTATAAGAATTGCATAGTCTTGTATACATGAATTAAAAGCAAGACCAGAGTAGCATGGTAGCGGTTTCAGCTCTCAGTATTGGTAGTTAGAATCCAAATTTTTGATGCTATTCGTTTACATCATGAGTTTGCAAGTGGTCACTACTAACCCAACACTAAACAACGGAGTCCTTCCCTTTGATCATGGGTTTTAAGACTTTCAGCAGTTTATGTAGATGAAATAAAAAAGAAAAAAAAAGTTTTGAGATTTTTGGTTTTTTGGCTTTTGTTTCGGGACAACTGTTTCCTCTTTTTTGATGATACAGATTTCCTGGCATTTATACCGTAGCTCCTGTTAGCTTATACCACGAGAATCATGGAGTACAACTTTTGAACGTTGCCACTTGAAATCATTATCATAATGTCCCTGGACCTTTTGCGGTGCTTCTGCACCAACTCTGTACCACGTAGGAAGCCATCATATTTCATAATAAGCATTATGAAATGCACTCTTTAACCTAGTTGATTAGTTGTTGATTACTGTTTTTAACATCGTAAATTATAAGAAAAGCAGGAGCGCATTATCATTAGTTACCAGCCAACCAACTATATCTTAGCCAACCAGCTTTATCTTAGCCAACCTAATGTGGAGCCGACGAAATGAAGGAAATATAAACAGCTTCAAAGCCTTCAAGTTGAGCGGACCGGGCGCTCATCCATTCATAGCTGGATTTTGTGGACATGGGCATTCATTTTCATGTCCCGGTGGGCGCCATTTTCACCGCTTGTCAGTTCTCTCCCAAGGGTCCCATGACCGAATATCATCGAACTAATGAATCTGTGACCATCATTGCCGCACGATTAATGGTTCTGGTCTCATGGTGTGGGTCATTTTTGGTTTTTGGTTTCTTCATTTCTCATTATTGTCCTTTATTAACAAGCAGGCACATGCCCATTTTTCAGATGAAACATCAATTGCTTCAAGCTTTTACAATCATGGGCGAAGGCAGAAAGCAGAAATTTCATTTTTGCTGTGTGTTTAAATGTTAACCACCACATTAAAATGATTGGTTTAAATGAAAAAACTTTAATCATTTAATTAAATGGCATAAATTTGAATCTTTATATATATATATATATATAACTTTTTAAATAATTGTTTTCCATTTATGCGTTCGACCCAGCGGTGTCAACCACCGCACAAGGAACATTCGAGCGTAGTAAACGGTAATGGGCCTGACGAGGGAGCGATTCACTGGGCCCTCTACTAGGTGACTAGACCAGACCGGACCAGACCAGCTCAGGTCACCAGGATTGAACTACTCCCTTTAATGAAGGGCCCATACAGTCTTTTCAAGTCCACTAATAGCGACAAAAAAATGCCGTTAGTTTTTTAATTTTTCCCTGGAACTCAGCACCATAGTCTTTCTCTCTCTCTCTCTCCGTTCTTTCTCAAGTGAAAGTCTGTCAGTTCAATTCGACAAATAAACCAGGCACCCCAAAAAATAAAGTTCCTTTCTCTCTCGAGTCATTTTCGCTTGCTATTAACTCCAAAAATTACAAATTCCCAGTACTTGGAATCGCTTCTACTTCACTCATTCTCTCCTAATATCTTTCTTGCTTTTCATCATACTAAATTCCTTCCTCTCTCCATTTCGCCCACCATAACCTAACCCCATATCTAACCATTTATAAGCACTCTTATAATAATAAAGTCATTAAACATTTATTTTCTAGTGGTCTAGGGTTTGCGCATTAAATAAATACTTTTAAGGAAACTCGTAACTGAAATTTTTTGAAAAACCAGAAACACAGAGAGAGATGATGGAATTGGAGCAAACGAGGCCGGAGAATCCGGCCATGACTTTCGATGAGGTGTCCATGGAGCGTAGCATGAGCTTCATCAAAGCCTTGCAGGTTCTACTTTCTTTTGTATCAGAATCATAGCCATAAGTGTGCAATCTTTTTACAATTTGTTACCAGATCTATTACTAATTCTTTAATATTGTTTGATTGATTTGTCTTCGCGTTTCTCTTCTCTAGAATTTTTTTTCTGCATTTTCTAGTTGAATTTATTTTTATCTGCTAATGCTTTTTTGTTGGATTGAGTGTTTTTGAAGTGACGGTATTGAGTGCAAAATATTATGGATTATTTTTATTTGCAATTGTTTTTTACAGGAGCTGAAGAACTTAAGGCCTCAATTATATTCTGCTGCCGAATATTGTGAGAAGTCTTATCTTCATAGCGAGCAGAAACAGACGTAAGGATTTATGTATTTTGCACTTTCTTGATTTAATTGATGTACTCGCTACTCATTGCATGATTTAGCTCCTGCAAGTTATTGTGAAACCTTATTTTTTCGACTTGAATCGGTAAATTTTTTTATTAGATTTCTATCTTAGTCCTGTGTGGACTATTGAGTATGGAAGCCTGATTTGATTGTGATATATATGTTACAGAGTTTATGAAATTATAGAAATTGACGCATAAATATTAGATGGGAACAGAATTTTTCGGAAAACACTTTTGCTGTTAAGTGTGAGGAGGATATGTGTAGCCAACCTGAACGTATAGATTTTAGTGAATGTTATACTTTGAGGGAAGATGGAATTATTTCTTCAGAATTAACATTGAGAAAGAAACATGGTGTGGATTTCCGGACAAATTAACCATGACTAACGGTGTATGTTCAAGTCATGGGTATGGAACGCTGTGTGGATTGGGAAAAGTTAAAGTTAAAAAATCAAATGCATGCTTCTACACTCATTTTGGTGCAAGTTCATCTGTTCTCTGCTCATGTTCACAAATACGCTTATTGCCGTGGAGTAGGGTACTGGACAACCTGAAAGATTATGCTGTGCGAGCCCTTGTTAATGCCGTTGATCACCTTGGTACTGTGGCTTACAAGTTAACTGACCTTCTTGAGCAACAAACATTAGAAGTCTCAACCATGGAGGTTAAGGTTTCTTGTCTGAATCAGGTAATTCTCAACATTTGTCTTCCTGGATGTCTTGACATTTGAAATCATATTTAATGTATGGACTTTAACTCATTTAGTTTGTTGATAGCAGCAATTTCTTACATGCCAAACATATACGGATAAGGAAGGTATTCGACAGCAGCAGTTGTTGGCATTCATCCCAAGACATCACAAGCACTACATATTACCAAGTAATACTGATTATCTTTTAACTTTTTAGTCTGTGTAAGAAGATATTATCATTTTCTCAATCCTTTATTTTCTGTTTCCCCCTGTTTGTGCTAGACTCTGTCAATAAGAAGGTACATTTTAGTCCACAAATACAGACTGATCCAAGACAACATCATTTTCAAGCTAGATCTCGTCTTCAGCCTTCGGGTATAAAATTTTCTGAATGAGACATTTACTTTTGGTGGCTTTGAGACTGTTTTTGGCTTTGTTTCTCTCGTTGCTGATGTGAAGTATCAAATTACTTATCAAAACGTTGCATCAGGTTCCCCAGCATCAAAAACTCTTTCCTGGCACTTAGCTTCCGAGACCAAGTCTATGCTAAAAGGGACTCCACATGCTATGACGAGGTTACCCTATAAAAACTCTTTCTTGGGTTTTCAACTCTAACAAGAACTTTCCTGTTTGCATATCTCTTATTGAATATTATGTGGAGGCTTTTGACATGTGCTTATCATGCAGCAATGAAGATGCAAAAACTTCTGGAAAATCTTCTTCTGTTTTTCAACTCTTGGGTATGTATAAGAGGAACAGTATGTTGTGACTGTAAATCAGTCTAGAAATATTAATATGTTATGCTTTGAATTCTATGCATGCAGAAGAGAGTGCAAAAACAAGATCCTCAGGAGCTCCTGCTCAACTATCAAGTGGAGGTCCTGCAGCTGGTGCAATCATGCAAACATTTGGTGTCCCACGCAGGGTAATGCCAAAGTCAGCAAGAACACAGACATGCCTAACATTCTTCTCAGTGCATGCTTGATTATCTAATGAAGATTATATTGGATTTTTGTCGGCATCTTCTTGCATGAGATTCATATAATTGTTGCCATGTTTGCATAAGATTCTTATCGTAAACTTTCATGCTAAATTTTGTTGGAAAGCTTTTCTATCATATTTTCATTTCCTTGTTCACATGATCTCTTTTGCAAAATGTCACCTTTTTTTAGCCATTTCTGAAAGTGAATGTGTCTTCTTAGCTCCGATGGAGGAAAATACTACAATTTAAAGCAGTTTATGATATCCAGCTATGAAAAGTCTTTCAAATTAAGCATAGACACAAATGGTATGAGTCTTGATGTAGTGTCAGGTAAGTTGCCTGAGGAATGTTAATGTGCCATACACTGAGGTCTAGAGCTCCAGTTGCTTTCAATGGGAAATCATGGCAGGCCGTTCCATCATTTAAATGGTGCTGCAAAATACTTGAAGCTTTTAAGCTGTTTGGATCCATATGCATTATTATGGCCGGTTTCTTGTCCTTGCTCTAGGACTCTCCTTTTGATATTCAAGTATAGGGCATGAAAAGATTATGCTTTTTCTGGGTTTCTGTAATAGTTTGATGATGTGTATCCAAAGTTCTTATGCAATCTAGAAAGTCATAATTGTGGTTATTATTGACTGTACATGCCCTATTGTGAGAAACCTTATGTACCTTGATGGGGTGTCAATGCTCAAATTTCCTTTTTGTAGAAAGAATCTACTTGTTTTGAGTGAAAGTAATGTCCTTTGCAACCTTGTTATGATTGCTTTAATGAAGAATGCAAAGAAAGCAGTTGGTTCTTTTGAGTCTGGAAATTTTGGTTAACACCAAATGCATTGAACAAAAGGTGCAGTGGGTAAATTTTTGCACAGTAGAGTGTGGTATTGATGTTGGTTGCTGTATGGATTCTCTTTTTGCCTTTCAAAGAAGCGGGAATATGTAACAGTACAAACAGTTGGACTTTTAGGTACAGATTAAAAAATTCACCTCAAATGGCCTAGCAGCTGGGAACTTGTAGTTCTTATAATTCACTTTGGGAGTTCATTTATATCAAGCAAATGAAAGCATCGTCACCCAGCTGTTGATTGGATGCTTCAGATGTGCTAGTTTGTTTGATTTTTTAATGAAAATTTGGATTTTACAAGCTGTCAATTGTCATTACAGATGTACATTTAGTGTAAAAACAGACAAATGTTTTGCGACCATCCTATTTGGGGGTCCGTTTGTGGGTGAGTGAACTATGTTTAAATATTTAATGAAGGGGTTTCGTTAGCTTATTGTTGGCCACTTATCTTTCTGATTCTAACTACTTAGGACGCTTCTGTGCTATGTCATTGATTAAAAATGGCCCATCTTTCTGGATATTTATATAACTTTCTTTGCTAAACTAATTTTGGTGAGGATTATTGTTTTCAGTTTTATTTTCTGCATGTCTTCTCCAAACGGATGTAATTTCAAAATGTTGAGGTCTGGTTGGCTTATCTGACCATTCTGTTGTGTATGAATAACAGGGTGCTGTCTATGCTTGTTCCAATTTTGAAACCTGCTCTAATAGAGGAGAGAGTGCTAACTTAAGAACTTCTTTTTGCAGGAATTGTTGGACGGTTCTAAACCTTTGACAGCATTCAGGTCATTTGACAATCCAAGGCGTGAGATTGTCCGTGCCCCTGTTCGCAGTAAAAGCATGCTATCAGCTTTCTTTGTAAAACAGAAAGCCCAGAAGTTGAAGGCTGGCTCTGTCTCTTGAATCCTTAGTGGAGCAAATTGAATGTCCCTCAGCAGGGCCCCCTGTTATGCCTGTGAAATTGCCAGTAAATGTCTCCAATGCTTGTTGATAATGAGTTCTTTCCGGGTCCCTAGTTAGTCACTTGTCAAAATTATATTTTTTCCACTCCGATGCTTTAATTGACTCTAATAATGGGTATATTGTGCATAAAAATCCAGTGGTGAATATAATCAAGATTGTATACTAGCTGAATTTTTTTCCCCTGGCCTTTGTTGATAATGTTTGGTTTTGATGATGGTTAATGTTGCGGAGCAATGTGTCAGGTAGATGAGAATGATAACACAAATTTACATGACTTTAGATTGGTGTTGGCTAAGAATATTTTCCATTTAGAATTTTTATTGACTCTGCTTTTGCAAATCATTGTAGTCTGGAATTGTTACATTTTGTCCATAGTATTGTTATGTACCGTTGTATCTTTGATAACGTCATTTGAGCAAGTTATGCAGATCTGACATTTCGTTTATCTTAGTTTGTGGTTGTAGCAGAGGGCAGCCACTGTTGAGAACCTCAAATTTTAGGTGGAGGTACCGAGGATGTCATCTGTTAGCTTATTGATGTGAAGAACGACTTTGAGAAGGACATTTGTTGGCCAAGATAAAATTATAAGTTTTGAAAACAAATGCATGCGTGTGCCAGCCAATGTGAATCTGTCGATAATTCCACCCAGTGACTGACGAAGTAATAAAACAAATCAATAAGCTGGGGTTTTTTTTTTTTTTTTTTTTTTGGGTCCACGAAGTATGGTTATGTGGTAGTGGCAGCATTTTGCATTTAGATTTAGGAAATGTTGGTAAATTTGGAGCACTAGAACTAATCTGCATAGTGAGATGTGAAAAAAAAAGAAGACCTTAATATACAATTTTTCCATATCGCTCGCATGTAAGCATGTGGGATGTTAGAAATTCATTATTTTTGTCTGTCTCGATTAGCAATTTCATGCGAGTATGTATATATATATACGTGTGTGTGTGGTTTTGTTCATATTTAGACCTCGTCCAATTTAAATTTTTTTATTAAAACTTTAAATATTTTTCTTGTTTAATTTAATAGTTTTATTTTTATATTGTAATTTTAGATCTTAATATAATAAGTAAGTACACTTGACAAGCTGTGGTAAGTTTTAATCAATAACAATTTGTTAATTGTTATAGTGGATCTAAATTAAGTTTTAATGAAAATAAAAAATTTTATGATGAATTTTAAATAACTAAACAAATAATAAATCTAAAAATATGTTAGGAAAAACAATTTAATTCTTATCCATTAAAACTAAAATTCTTCTCTCTTCTATTTATTTCGTTTTTTGTTTGTTTTTTTTAATGAGTTTCTTGGGTCATAATTGGATTTGAATGATGGATCATGCTTCCCCACTAGCAGGATCGTTGTTCTGAAATCAAAGGCAAGAAAGGCACAGAATGCCGGAAGATGTTTTTTATCTACTGGTGCCATCAAGGTTTTTCATTCAAGTGATTGGAAGCTTAAAGAGATTCTCAGTGTTCGGAATGGGAATTCGCATGGTGAAGCGAAAGAAAGGAAGAACATAGATTATGATTTAGGACCTATAAGGTCAAGGTCTAGATTTTCAAAGCTTAATTCCTAAATTTCAAACCCAATCCTTAATTTCCGAATTATAAACCCTAATCCTCAATTTTGCTTCCTCATTCTTTTTGGGCTTTTTTGACTTTTGATCTATAATCAGCAAAACTTTGTTCAACCATATTTTGCTCCACCATTGATGTCCCAAGTTCGGATTCTTGGGACTCTCTTTGTTCCTCCTGGTTGATGTTGGTTGTACATTTTGTAGTTGGATCCATTGCCATAGTTGAACTTTGAATGCAGAAACAAATTCTTCAACCATATCAACAGAGTCGCCTTCCTTCAGGTATGCGGATTAAGAGCTAAAGACTGGACATGAGATGGCATTTGATTGACAGGTGCCTTAACCTTGATTCGATCAATGATGTTGTTCTGAACTTGTTTTGGTATCTGAGGACCTGCACCGTCTGATGTCTTGTGCTCTCCACAAGTTTCTTCATACGCTTTCATCTGAAATTTCTCGCAGATAAGATGGTCGGCAACCTTGCTCATTCGTTCCCCTGATGAGATATTTGTTGGAATTTTTTTGTGATTCTGCAGATGGACGGAGGAAAGAGAAAAAAAAATCTGAAATGAATATGAGAGAGAAAAAGAATTTTAATTTTAAGGGATAAAGGTTGAATTGTATTTTCTTAATTTATTTTTAATTTTATTATTTAAAATTATCAAAAATTTTTAATTTTTGTTAAAATTTAATTTAAACTCATCATGATAAATAATAAATTATCATTCATTATGGGTGTTAATGTAGTACATTAAGATCTAAAATAACACGCAAAAATAAAACGCTTAAATTGAATTCTGAACACAAAACATATGAGGTTTGGATACGCATAAAATCCACATTCATAGTTGTGCCTTTGTTGGGGTTTAACCGTGTGGTTGTCGTAAAAAGAAAATGGGGACCTTCTTTGGATTGGAGAAGCCAGGCAGGCGCTCATGTACTCGCAACTCGTACGTTCATAGAGACTTGTAAGGCTCAATAAGGCTGGCCCTAGTGAATTTCGCAACCGTCTACTAACAAAGATTCTGGAGATAATTGTGATTAAGAAATATGAAAGGGTTATTTAAATGGTATATAATTATAAATTATTAAATATTTTTATTTATTATGTCATGATAATTTACTTTCCTATTAAGTAATTTGACTAATTATTTTATAATTATATTAGTTACAAATATTATTATACAACCACAAATCAAAAATACAATATTATTTGTAAAAAAATATTATTTACTTCATAAGAATTAAATTATTATGAGCTATTAAAGAGATTCACTTAATAAATTTCACAAATATTATTTTATTTTATTTAGTAATTAAATCAATTGATTGGATCGCAATTTTGATAGTAGTTATTAATTAAGTGTAATTTCAATTAAAAAAATCTTATTAACTTAGAAAGAAAAAAAGTTATTAAAGTTTTTTTTAAAATCATTTATAAGTTATTACAAATTTATAAATATTTACATTTATTGTCTCAAAGTGATTATTGTATTATTGAGTATACTCAAAAACATTATAATATTATGCGTTCAAGTAAGTAGAGCAAGTCTTACACATAAACAGATGTCAGACTTCTCATTTTTGCAAATTCTTCAACATGGCGGGTGATTAAATCCTTGAACAGTATCCGCAAGGATTGCGAAAAAGTTGACAAGAAGCGACATTGATCGACGCGTGCTGTATTCCCATAGGGTTGATTCTTTTGAACAGTTTTACACCCTTTCCATAACACGTGCGAGCGAGTACCCACAGATCTAATCGGACTCAAAACCGGCAAACCCGACCCTTTTTAACAAAACGGAGCAAGTAAACCCATCATCCTCTGCTTCTCCCTTGTCAGGAACCCATGCACACCAAAATCACAGATCCAATCTCAAAAAACCCAGTAAAACCAAACTTCCACCTCGTCGCCTGACTTTTTCTTCACCGTCGAAGACATCCTTCAACTCTCAATTCCATGAGTTTTATCACAATTATATGACAGAAGCTAAAAAAATGTCAACATTTTTGCACCAAAGACCTCTCCACAGCACAATCTCAGATGCCTACCCACTATCACCACGCCAATCTGCCTCCTCCCAACGACAAATTTCACTCCTCAGCCGCACAGGCCTAATAGTCTTATTATCCCTCCTCCTAATTCTTGGCGTGATTCTACCCTGGACAGGGACGCCCTCAATTTTCTCAACAACAAAACCCTCACTTACGAAATGGCAACAATACACACTATCCCAAGCGGTGTCGTTTGTTGCAAAAAACAAGACAGTGATTGTTTGCGCAGTTAGTCAGCCTTACTTGCCATTTTTAAGTAATTGGTTGATTAGTATTTCGAGACAAAAGCATCAAGATAAGGTTCTTGTTATTGCTGAGGATTATGCTACTCTTTACAAGGTTAATGAGAAATGGCCTGGTCATGCTGTTCTTGTGCCTCCTGCTCCTGATTCACAGACTGCCCATAAGTTTGGTTCTCAGGTACTAGAACTTGATTTCACTAGAGTCTATCTCCAACTTCTCCCATTTGTAATTGCAATTTATTGAATTCGGTAATTCTGTTTATTAAAAGTTGAACTACTGTGGATTGCTTCGATGCTTGGCATTGTGGCTATGACAATACTACTTGATATGCAACACCAATTAGTTATAAATGCCTATTCCACTACCTAATTTTGACCCTTTTTTATTAATATTAGTTAGCATTGGCATAAAATGGAATTTGGAATGTGGATTTATTGTTGATTGCAGTGATGTTGATATTGTCGACTATTTTTTTTTGCACTGCCTTTCTGATCTATATTTGGGGATTCTGATTCAAACTAAAAATAATATGTTGTTTTCATGGTTTCCAGAGTATTATTCACGCTGTTGAATGGTTATCCTAATTTATAAGAGTGCGTTATTTCTCAGTTCCTGTCTCTCTTGTGTTTCCTTGCCAAGTTATTGACTTTGTTGGGATTGTTTTTTATTGTTTGTACTTTTTTGTTCTTTCAATAGGGATTCTTCAATTTCACCTCCCGAAGACCTCGGCATTTGCTGCACATTCTGGAGCTTGGGTATAACGTGATGTATAATGATGTGGATATGGTCTGGTTACAAGATCCTTTCCCGTATTTGGAGGGAAATCATGATGTGTACTTCACCGATGACATGGCTGCGGTATGTACTACTAACTGGCTTCGATGTTTGGAATTAATTGTAAAGCATGAAGTTAATCCTTTTTGGAACATGGAGCTAACGATACTAGCATGTGTTGCTATGTTTAATTACTAAAACAATAATCATTAACTTGTATAATATTCGAGCAATTCAAATTTTCAGAATTCGCATTTCAAATCTCATTGACTTTGTCTGTGCCATTAAACCAGTGTGATGCATGGCCGATTGGCTATCTTTGAAGGATTGAGTGACTGTAGTTGAAAATCACATCTTTATATCTTCTGCATGCCAGCAAAATCCTGGCTCATCTACTGCTTGTTACTTGTTAGTACTTGGCATTGGAGATAAACCTTCATCATTGCATATCATTTTGTGGACAATGGAGGGGATGTTAGTGAATCATTTCTTAACCAAGTTGAGCTTAACTCCATTTCTGGTGATATCTTTGGTAGTATGTCGTTTTTTTAATAAATCTTAATAACATGTAATATGCTCCTTTTTAAAGCGTTTGACATTCATGTAATTAGTGGAAACCTACATCGTAGTAAATAAAACCTATCTGTTTCCTTAGAACACAAGCTTGTTTTTACATGGTACATGGTTTAATCTATCTTTGTAGTAAATATACGTGATGCCCTTTTCTTTTGCATTACCAGGTGAAGCCGCTGGACCACTCCCACGATTTGCCACCCCCAGGAAAAAAGGGGCGCACTTATATATGTAGCTGCATGATTTTCATGCGTCCCACTGATGGAGCAAAGCTAGTTATGAAGAAATGGATTGAGGAACTTCAAGCTCAGCCTTGGTCCAAAACAAAGAAATCAAATGATCAGCCTGCTTTTAACTGGGCACTGAATAAAACAGCTGGACAGGTTTGTGCTGATCTAGGACTTTCTTACGTTTTTAGTCCATCTACATTCTACAAACTGGAATATTGGACTACCTTTTCCCTTATTTCTGATATAACTAAGGTTGAAAGGATGTGGACAATGCTTTGAGGCTCACAATTAAAGGAGAAAATTTTAAATTTATAAACTAAAAAAGTAGCACGAGTTCAGGTTTGTGTGCAGAAGACAAATAGTAAATTAGTGTCCAATAGCTTTACCATTCGTTTTTGGATGGTGCATTGATTGAGTTGTGATGTTTGTATTCATGATATTTCTGCAGGTGGATCTGTATCTTCTTCCCCAGTCAGCTTTCCCAACAGGAGGATTATACTTCAAGAATCAGACATGGGTGCAGGAAACTAAGGGAAAGCATGTTATCATTCACAACAATTATATCACAGGTTTTGAGAAGAAGATAAAGCGTTTCCATGATTACGGTCTCTGGTTGTTGGATGATGCAAGTGAGTCCCCACTTGGCAAATTATAATGAATCAAAAGACAATGTGAGTTGTTGCGTCTGCATGGCTAATCACATTCTTTCTTTACCTTGGATGAAATGCACGCTGCCAATCGGAGCCAATCAGCTGTCGACCATGGAATCGCATAAAGAGTATGGAGTATTAAAAGCTCGAGTTTTTTTTTTTTCCTTTTTTCTTCTGTGCCTTTTATTTCATGTTAATAGCGGCACATTAACTTTAAAGGTGGTTTGCTTTTGAACTAGTTTGGTTTCTATTCTTTCTCACACAGATGGAATTCATTTCACTTAGGAAGTGCAAAAGCGTACGAGTAGTTTGTTGAATCAATTGGATTTCTGTTTCAATTTTGACTACCTTTTAGTGGTCAAGCCGAAGAATTATTCGCTTAAAATTTTATGCAAACACATTTTTTCCCTGCTGTACAAAATCAATCGTTTCTTCTGAACTCTACACAAATGAATTACTGTATCATTTGTGAAGTTCTCAGTCTCATGTGCTCCCATGTCTGTGAATGAAAGCATTGATGATGTTACGGTTCAGTGATTTACAGCCTCATATCAATGTACCAACTTTCTCAGGTATTAACTGTCTCCTGTAACAAGGTAATGTCAACTTGTGTCAATAAAAGGTAAATCAGACGGTATTTACCATCTTTTTCGGGTCTTAATTGGTGAGAACTGCTACATATTCAGGAGTCTGACAGACCTGTCCAGGAAATGGCAGTAAATGCTCCCTGCCTTGAGAGCAAACTGGTTTTCTTTTCCCTTCCACTAATAATTGATTTTTTTTTTTTTAATTTCTTTTTCTATCTTTCTTCAGTATAATACTAGTGTTTTTTATTTGAATTATGCTGCGTATTGAATATAATACGTAAAATTATTTTAGTTTGATGTTTCGTGTTATATTGTATATATATTAAAATATATCAAATTAAAATTAATTTAATTTTTTAATTTTTTAATCAAAATTTTGTAATTGACTTATTATTTTTTATATTTTTCATAATTTTTTTATTAAAAAATATTATTTATTTATTTCTGTTAATAAATTAAAAAATATATAATAGTATAAAAACGTTAAAATCAATAGATTTTTAGTTAAAAATTTATTTTTATAAACTACTTTTTCTAAATATTTTTTATCTTAAAATTTTTAATTAAAATATCATAGAAGAAAACAACTGAAGTGACCAAAATAAAAAAAATCAAAATTAAATAAAAAAATATTTACATACTGAAAAAAGCAATATTTAAAAAAGAAAGATAAAAATATAATGTCATAAAAATATTGATAAAAAATATTTTTAAAATATTTAAAGCTATAAAAATATTATTAATATAGTAAAAAGAATAATATATTGAATAGTACGAATAAATCTAAATAAATAATATTTAAATAATAAAGTGAACAATAACTAATCATTTTACTTTAGTTCTTTCTGTTAATGCACTCAAGCCTAACCAAGATTAGAAAGTGTCGGTCGGGGATATGTTGCATGGAATAAACGTACAATTATTTGAATATGGGTGTGGTCCCTCATGGATTGATATCAGGTTTTATGGACAAATTCTGAAAGCTCACTATTGAATCAGGGCAAAAAAGTAAATCTATATAAATTAAAATGATGACGTAGCGGGGAAGAAAGCCACTGCTTAACTGATGGACAATTAAAAAAGAAAGAAAAGGAAATGTGTTGTTTTCTGGTTCGACAGCTGCCTACTTTTCCAAGCTGTCATGTATTGTGAGGTGAATTAGAAACAAGAATACGTCCAGTCCTGGGGTATTTATTATTTAACCCTTGTATATTTTCCTAACTAAAAATCACACGCTAATCGCTCTCTCTACTTTCTTCTAAAAAAAATATCAACTTTCTTTTCTTTTTTTTCTAATTTTTTTTTTTTTGGGTTTGATATTTACTCGATATTGCTACTTAAATCCCCAAGTTTTTTGTTCTTATATAAAAATAGCAAATAATCCCATCAATAGCAAGAAGCTGTCCCTATTTCATTGAAGTTCAACAATTTCAAGTGCTTTATTGTAATCCTATTATATCATTCCATTTTTGCCATGATTCCAACTCGCTGAAGTGACAGATTTTCCTTTCTTTTTTTTCTTAACATGTAGAGAGAGAGAGGGGAACAGAAATTTAATATAAACATTTTTTTTTTTTTTTTTTTTGCAAAGACTATGTAATCACTAAATTAGTCAATTATAGATTTAAAAACAAAAAAACAAAAAACGAAAAACAATTCCTCCTAGTCTGGCAGGATAACAACATTCCAACACCCGTGCCATGCCCTTTTTATTAATTTAACCAAAAAAAAAAAAAAAACCTTTTCTTGTTGGGGTTTCACATCCCTAGATAATAATTTTCAAAAAAATTTCCCTTCAGCTAAAAATTAATATGTATACAATTAATATATCTTTTTTTAAGAAAAAAATCAATATATCTAACTAGTAAGTACACGTATTATCCGTTCGAATAAAACAATGAATAATCTTTATGTTTTAAAATTATACTCCGCTGTTTTTGAAAAATAAAAAGAAAATTTTAAGACAATCCCTATATAACGGAGGAATATTAGATTCGTTACCGAGGTTTTAGCTGTGTAAATCGCTGTAAGAAAAGAACACTGATTGATAATCCTCAACAAAATCCTCACAAAACCTCTGTCCTCTCTCTAGTAGAAAATAAAAGATTAGTAAAAAAAAAAAAATTAAACACAGACAATTTTCTCATCACTGAAAAAACAGCTCATTTTGACAAGTGACAAATACACAAACAAATACAAAAAAAATAAACAAGAAAACTCCCCCATCTTGACCTTTCACTTCCTCTCTCTCCTCCTCACTGTTACTCAACTCACGAGTATCTTGCAATCACACCACTCTGCCTTTGCCTTTGCGTTTTTTTTTTTCCCCTTTCAACATCACCACAATTAGCTTATCTGCATGTCTGTCTTCAAAAGAGGCAAAGAGTTGATTTTTTTTATGGAACTCTAAATGGGTTCATTAGAGACCGGAGGAATCTCCTTCAAAAGAGACAACAACGCTCCTATTCGTTCTTATTCAGTTGGTAGAGCTGAAAGAAACCCTTTTTGTATAGACCCAGATCGAGATTTTCTCGTTTCTTGCTTTTCAAGAAGTTAGATTACATTCAATGGATTTGCACTGTTGCTGTTTTTCTCTTCTTTGTTGCTCTTTTTCAGATGTTTTTGCCTGGTTCTGTGGTTGAGAAATCTGAACTAGGTTCTTTTCCATGGAGAGGAATGGAGTTGGTTAATAATGATTTGTTGTATTTGAAGGAGATTGGTCGGTTAGATTTTGGTGAAGATATCAAGTTTCAACCTTCAAAGATATTACAAAAGTTTCAAAAAGAAAATAGAGAGATGAATATGTCATTTAGTAACAGGACATTAAGTCGTTTTCCTTACAGGAAACCCCAGCTTGCTTTGGTTAGTTTTCGCTACTTTTTACCAATCCATTGTTATTCCTTTGGTTTATTTTCTGGTGGGGTTGACTTGTAGTATAAATTGTGTTTTTTAATTTAGGTGTTTGCGGATCTGTTGGTTGATCCACAGCAGCTGTTAATGGTGACTGTTGCTACTGCATTGCAAGAGATTGGCTACACAATTCATGTATGTGTTTTGGTGCTTGAATTGTTAATGCTGAGTGTTTAGTGAAAAGAAAAAAAATGAATTGCTTGAGCGGAATTTGTGCATATATATATATATATATATATTCTCAATTTTATCCCAAGTCCCAAGTACTTGTGGTGCTCCATACAGTTGTAAAGCAATTTTCAAAGATATGTCAGTCTTCTTACTTCTTTGCATCAAATTTATTGGAATTTGTTTGGCAGGTTTATTCACTAGGAGATGGTCCTGCGCAAAACATCTGGAAGAGCATGGGATTTCCAGTTACCATCATCCAAATCAGCCACCAGATGGAGATTGCTGTTGATTGGCTAAAGTATGCATGGCATTCTACTGGATTTCTGATAAAAAAAATCTTGTCTTTTGTTTTTCAAATTTATTGAGCATGGTTTGTGTCATTGGATTTGAAGGCGTTTGGTTGCATCTGATTTTGATGTATTCTTTTGGCAGCTATGATGGCGCACTTGTGAATTCTCTTGAAACAAAGAGTGTCATCTCTTGGTAAGATATATTACCATCTTTTTCCAAGTGAAAGATATACCTCCAAAAATTATGCCTTGCCTCAAATGCTTACTTTAATCCATCTCTTCCCTTTAATCATTCTATTTGTTTAGGTAATCCTATGTGATTAGTCTTTCATTAGCAATCAATTAGAAATAGACCTATGTAGTATTTTACTGATCTGAGGACGTTGTCTTAAACCAAGAATCTTAAATCGCTCAATGCCTGAAACTTGATGCTTGTGCAAATTAAATGTTCAGAGTGTTGTCTGATAGTTAATATGCCAGAAGCACAACTTTGTCACTTTGTTCTAGTTGAAATATGTATACAAGGATAGGAGCTGTCTATACTTTGGTTATTTATGCGAGACGTTACTTGTCTGAGTCAATTAACATGAATGATTTCACTTTTAACAGTTTTATGCAGGAACCGTTCAAGTCTGTGCCTCTTATATGGATCATCTATGAAAAAGCACTTTCTATTCGTTCAAGACAGTATACTTCAAGTTGGCAAATTGAGCTTCTGAATGATTGGAGAAAAGCTTTCAACCGGGCTACTGTAGTTGTCTTCCCAAATCATGTCCTTCCGGTAATTGACTATGATAAAACTTCACCTTATGGAACTATCTGAAAATACCATGGGGTTAATCTGGGCTTGCAGATAGAATGCAACTCCCGAATAAATCTCATCTCTATTTTTTTTAAAAATAATCCAACATATAGCAATAAGTGACTTAATATTTTGTCATGTGATGTGTTGTGATGTTGTTCTCAATACTCATGCTATTAACATTGGAGCTGAAGTCAGCATTTATCTCCTTTTCTGCATTTCAAACAGATGATGTACTCTGCATTTGACGTCGGAAACTATTATGTTATTCCCGGTTCTGCTGCTGAAGTATGGGAAGCAGATGCTACAATGGCATTGTACAATGATGATATACGTGTGAAGATGGGCTATGAGCTCAATGACATTGTCATTGCAGTTGTGGGAAGTCAATTTTTGTACAGGGGTTTGTGGCTGGAGCATGCACTTGTTTTGAAGGCACTGTTACCACTTTTTGCAAACTTTCCAATTGATAATAATTCAAACTCTCATCTCAAAATCATTGTTTTATGTGGGGATTCTACTGGTAACTACAGTGCAGCTGTTGAGGTATGATTTAAATGCAAGCCTGCAGAGTTCGTTACATCTGAAAATAGATGCCAATTTCCATAATCTCTTTTTTTCCTCAGGCTATTGCTGTTAACTTGAGTTATCCTAGAGGTGCTGTAAAACACATTGCTGTTGATGGTGATGTGGGTAGTGCCCTCCTTGTAGCTGATCTTGTGATATATGGATCCTTCCTCGAGGAGCAGTCTTTTCCCGAAATTTTGGTGAAAGCCTTGTCCATAGGAAAACCCATCATAGCTCCAGATCTCTCCATGATCAGGAAATATGTAAGCCTTACTTATTTTTCATCTTCAGTCTTCATGCACAAAACAAATTGAATTCACAATGTACATTGATTTGAAAGATGATCTCACATTCCTGAGTGGTATCAACTCAACTAGTCTATCTCCATTACGTAGGGTGGATCACTAGTCTTTCTAGTTTTTCATTGTTTTTTTCATCTCTATTTAGGCACAATTATCTTGATGAATAAATCCATAGTCTTAGCCTAAACCCGGGTTCTTATGAGTCTTATTCTGACCTTGTATTTGGATGAATTAGATTGCCTCTCTTTACCAGAGCAATAACTTCTTATTCATTTGCCCAATTTGTTTTTCTTTATCTAATCTTATTATTCATTGATCGCAATGTTCCCATGTAGAATTTGCTCATTTCTTTGTCCTCACTTGAGGAACATTCTTTGATACTTCATGTCGTTGCCTCATTAAAACTAATATTCTGTTTTGAGAATGACTTTCTTCAAATCAACTTATAATTTTTGTCCAGTTCAATATAGTTTACTGCCCTTCTTTGAAATTAGTGGTGCTGCAAACAAGCAATTAGTAGTTTTTTGGCAGGAATTTCTTGAAATAACAAATAGATAATGATTGATAAAACGTTATTGGTATCAGATTTTTATTTTTCATTGTTGTGAATCATCTTCTTGTTACATACCTATGTCTATTACGCAAACTACTGACTGTATTAGCAATAACAATTAGGTTGATGACAGGGTGAATGGCTATCTTTTTCCTAAGGAAAACCTCAAGGTTCTGACACAGACTGTATTGCAAGTGATCTCCAATGGGACATTATCACCTCTGGCTCGTAATATTTCATCCATGGGGAAAAGCACTGCTAAAAACCTGATGGTTCTAGAAACTGTTGAGGGCTATGCTACACTACTTGAGAATGTTCTCAAGCTTCCCTCAGAAGTTGCACCTCCTAAGGCTGTTTCAGAAATTCCTCCAAAACTGAAAAAGAGTGGTGCTGGGATCTGTTTAAACCATTTCTAAATTCTACGCATGAAGACAGAACTTTGAAAAGTTCTAGATATTTAAAGAAGGTTGAGGAACAGTGGAACCATATGCAAAGAGAGAGCTCTGGTTCCGTAGCTGCTACTGATGATTCATTCTCATATGACATTTGGGAGGAAGAGAGACATATTCTGATGCTCAATACTATAAAGAGAAGAGAGGAAGAAGAGGTAAGAGTTTCTGCAGTGATAATATATTAAGACTAAATTTTGGATGGAACAGGTCCTTCTGTATGGCATTCTTGAAGTGCATCCTTTGTAAAATTTGACTTCTGGGATATTTGGCAGCTAAAAGATAGAAGTGATCAACCTCGTGGAACATGGGAGGAAGTGTACAAAAGCGCCAAAAGGGCTGATCGCTCCAGGAATGATTTACGTGAAAGAGATGAAGGAGAACTTTTGAGAACCGGGCAACCGTTATGTATATATGAACCATATGTTGGGGAAGGAACCTGGTCTTTTCTTCACCTAAGTTCGCTTTATCGTGGAATAGGATTGGTGAGTTTGCATCTCTGTATTTTATACTGAAAATCCGTGTCCTTTTCTCAATTTTTCTTCAAGTTACTTGACTTTTCTGGTCTGTCTGATGATTCTTCCCAACATTAGGCGTCACTGTCTTTTAACATGTAGCTTATGGGTAAAAAGCTTATGTGCTAAGTTTTAGGATTCCGCTTTCCGAAGGTGTTTATTGCTTGAACCTTAATCTTAGTCTCTTCCACATTTTGCAAGTTGAGGAAAAGGTAAATGGCCAGTAATTCACTTTCAGTAATATCTTTATTTATCTCTGTAAGCTTATTTGCTTATTGCCCGGCATTATGGTGTGTCCTGCACTTTGATTTTAATTGGCAAACATTGCTTGTTGCCTCATCTTCTTATAATGAATGTGAAGACTAGTATATATAACTGAGAGCCCTGCGGTGTGTTTTACCTGCAATATGATTTTGATTGATAAACACTTGCTCAAAATCGTATGTTCTTCTTACATTGAAGGAATTTGAAGCCCTTAGTTGCATACCCCTTTGCCATTGTAACTAAACCACATTGCAGTTTCTATTCTACGGAGCTCGCTTTATACTTCTGCTTTTAGTTAGAGAACTTGTAAATTTTGATGGAACCTGTATAAAAGAGGTATTTACCTTTCCTGCCTGATTTTATATACTTACTATGGTTGCAGTCCACAAAAGGTCGAAGACCCAGGACAGATGACGTTGATGCACCCTCCCGTCTATCACTTCTCAGCAACTCATACTACCGAGATGCCCTTGGTGAATATGGAGCTTTTTTTGCAATCGCAAAGAGGATTGACCGTATTCACAAGAATTCCTGGATAGGGTTTCAATCTTGGAGAGCAACAGCAAGGAAGGTATATAATGATTCCCTAAGTCTACCCTGTGTTCTTATTGTTGATGTTGTTTGCTCTGCCTTACATGCCATTTTCAAGACATGATATTGGTCTTTAACCTGTATATTTGGTCATGCAGACTTGCAATTGTGATTTGTCTTTGCTTTCAAATGCGCTAGATAGATGGAACGTTTTCTGAGATTCTAGTCCCTAATTTTCTCTTGCCATTACCTTTATTATGAGTAGTTACCACTTCAGTTCTCTTTCATCTATGGAAGTAACGAGTTTATTGTTAGAACCTTTAGAAATTTATTCTTAAATGAACAATACAGTATTTCCTCAGGATCATAGATGTGTGGAATGCTAGGAAATGATAGTTAAACAAATGTGATCTCATAATTTATTTCATGCATTTAATGGACTACTTCTTATTGCGAGGTATAAACAGGCATCTTTGTCTAAGACTGCTGAAAAGGCATTGGTAGATGCAATTGAAACACGAAAGCATGGGGACTCACTTTACTTTTGGGTTCGCATGGACATGGACCCAAGAAACCACTTACAGAAGGATTTTTGGTCATTCTGTGATGCTATTAATGCTGGAAATTGCAAGTAAGAGCTATGCTGTTTATCTGGAGATTTATTATGGAATTCTTGGAAATTTCACTCCTCTCCCATTTGGGCTTTTTAGCTGATTCCACCATTTAATCGTTGGTAATTGAAGGTTTGCTTTTTCTGAGGCTCTGAGGAGGATGTATGGCATCAAGCATGATTTTGATTCTTTACCACCCATGCCTGAAGATGGGGATACATGGTCTGTCAGGCTGAGTTTTGCTTTGCCAACAAGGTCCTTCCTAGAGTTTGTAATGTTTTCAAGGTGTGATAAGTTACTGTTGTTGGCATTGGTAATTCGAAAAATTCAAGCTTAAGTTGGCTCAGATGCTGATTTGAACTGTTGAGTGCAGAATGTTTGTGGACGCTTTGGATGCACAGATGTATGATGAGCACCATCGAAGTGGGCGATGCTATCTGAGTCTAGCTAAGGTAAATTTTGAGGTCGTATGTTAAGAGTTTTCTGTTCTTGCTGCATGTAACGTGTCTCTTCTTGGACTGTTTGGATACTATTATGAGTTGAAATCAAAGTTTTCAACGAGTTAATCTGAAGAACCACTACCACCCACCCCCCAATCTGAATTGCTAGATGTCAGTTCCAACCGAAGCTCAGTTTACAGTCAATTAGGCATTTTAGGTCCGTCAAATGGATAAATGGCTCTGCAATAGTTTGATAACAGTTTTTTTTTTTTTTTTTTGCAGGATAAGCATTGCTACTCACGGGTTCTTGAGCTGCTCATAAATGTCTGGGCATACCACAGCGCACGGCAGATGGTTTACGTGAATCCGGAGACAGGTGTCATGAAAGAGCAACATGCAGTCAAGAGCCGCAGAGGCAAGATGTGGGTCAAATGGTTCTCATACAGCAGCCTTAAGAGCATGGATGAGGACTTGGCTGAAGAGGCTGATTCTGATCAGCCCAAGAGAAGGTGGTTATGGCCATCAACAGGTGAGGTTGTATGGCAAGGTGTATTTGAGAAAGAGAGGAATCTACGGAATCATCAAAAAGAGAAGAGGAGACAGCAAAGCAAGGACAAACAACAAAGAATGAGGAAAAAACACCGTCAAAAGGTGTTGGGAAAATACGTGAAGCCCCCACCAGAAGACAGGGAAAATTCAGACCCAACACTGTCCGCATCGGATTCTTTGTAGCGTTAAGTTCGTCCTTCAGGATATGGGCAGCATTGGAGGTAGAGTCTAGTTTGATAATTCTTTTATTGTTGATTTTTCCTCTTCAGTAGTTATATTTGGAAAAGGGATGCATGTTTTTGTGTCTTTTATATGAAGGGGTTTGTATGTAACTAACTGCATCCTTGCGTCATTAGTGTTGATGAGCGTGTCAGGTTTAGACTAATTTCCTTCGTTCTTTTCAATTTTTTCACCCCATTGTAGAAGTTATTACATTCATGACCACAAGAAAAGAAGAATTAGTGTGAATTTGTAATTTCTAGAACTCTCTCTCGAGAATTTCTGACATATTAACTGCTCAGGCGACTGGGTGACATAAAACCGTCCAAATCCATTTTGTAGACGATGGAAGTCAGTTGGTTTCTTTTTTCGTGCAAGAAATAAAGTAGCAACTACCTGCATGAATAATCGTTTTGAATTGAAACACTCACGGTTGAGAAACTAACTGCAACATCCTGCGTTTGTCCCATTCCCCCTCTCCTCCTTACAGTTTGGATTTAATATTGCTGATCGGATTTATAAGCAGGACAATAGCTGCAGTCACATATAAAACTCAAGCATACAGCAGCTGAATAACAAAAAACAACTATCTTCAAAGAGGACAATTACTGCTGGAAAACTATCAACTTAGTTATCGTGATTTTCAACAAAAACTATTCCCGTGCACAAATTCCGCTTTGTCTGAACTTAATTTGTCCAATTTTCCTCATGTGGTATTAAACTATAATTATAAACCCATTAGTCTTAAATTCTGCGTCGACAAAGCAACGATACAACACCACCGAGTTCCAATTCATGGGGTGATACGTAGGTGTTAGAATGCAAAACAATTTGACTTTTGACCCTACCTTCAAAGAGGAAATATTATCATCCTGGAACAGCGCGAAGCTTTGGTGGCCAAATTTGAGGAGGGTTGAACACGGAAACAGAATTCGGACAGTATGTGTAATATCCAAAAACTTTGCATGATAATATATTACATGTATAAGTGTATAAATATGTTTTATTTATATATGTAATTTAATATTTTTTATGTGTTTAAAGGATATGATGATTAGGTATGCAGTTTTAGGATTTAATATATATTTTTGAGTATCATAGATTGTATTTTAATAGATAGGAACTAGTCCTGTAATCTTAGCTTAAGCTATTAGAATTCAAGAATAATAATAATAATAATAATAATAATAATAATAATTAATAAAATAATAATAAGTTTTAATGGTTTTTTAAATGGAATGTTATTGACTATGAAAAAAGAGAGAGTTTTGAAACATCTATCAAAATTAAAGTGTAGACATGAATGATTATGAAAGAAAAGAAAGTGGCCATAAAATAAAAAGGTTAGTGATAACGAAAGAAAAAAAATAGTCATGAAAGAAAGCCACTTAGTGGCCATAAAAGAAAAAAATTAATGGCTTTTTATTATTTTTAATTCATGCACTTAAAATCCCTAAATGTTTCAATTTCTCATACCTATATATAGGGTGTAATTCTCTTAATTTATGAAAGTCATTTCATAAACTTATACTTTAAAGAGAGAGAGAGAGAGAGAGAGAGAGAATATAATTTAAGTAAGAAATGAAGTTAAAGGTATTTGGAAGAAGATTCAAGACTTGATTATTAAATATTCAAGGTAAGAAAAATATTTAATTTAATTACTTGTTTTTATATGATTTTAGATAGAATTGAGTTGAAAATTTCATAATTTAAGAATGATTATGTAAAAATTATATTTTAGTATTAAAATCTTAAATTTTTAGAGAATATTTGATGATTAAATGCATTTAAATAAGAATTGAAAAGGTTAAGTTAAAATTTAATTAATGATTATATGAATATAATTAAAGGAGAATTGAATAAATTACAGTAGAGTTAATAATTTCATTAGGATTCTTAATTTAAAATAAATTACAAGAAAATAATAAGAATTAATAAAAAATAAAATTATTAAAAATAAAATAATAATATTCAATTTCTTATGTTATATGGTGTGTATATTCAAGGTATTGAATTAGATCAAGATACTGATTTTTAGAGAAAGGTTATGATAAATAGGAGTCTTAATCGAATCAATTAAGTGTAACTCACTTACATCATAAATGTAAATGCTATGTGTTTTTATGTGATCGATGTGATGATCTTGAGGTGCATTCATATGTTTGCATATGTTTTACATGTTGATTGAAAGAATATGCTTTAAGTAAATAAATGAGGTCATTTTTTTTAATGCATATTGAGGTTTAAAGATTGAGATTGCCTATCGAGGCATAAACGTTCAAGTTTAAAGGTTGAGCTTTGACTATTAAATGTTGAGGTTAATGTTTTTATGCATACTTTTATTAAGGCTAGACTCTGCTAACCGATGTTAGCATCTTTTAGCAAGCCCAAATAAAGAAAAGAATTTTAAAAACATTCATGTACAAAAAGTTTTAATGTAAAATTATGCATGTTACACTTATTAAAATATTTGTATCTCACATCCGTTCGTGATGCAGGTAACGATACAAATGTTGAAGATATAAGTAATGATATAAATCTTGATGATATTAATATTACTCTCGAATGACCAGTAACTCATGTACTTGCTTTTACGTGTTCCTAACGATTAAATTATGTTTTAAATAAATATTTATTTTAAAAATAATAAATATAATAATAATAAACTTATGAATGTTGAAAATTTTTACTTCAGAACTTAAATATGAATATTAAGACAAGATTACTTAGAAATATTAGTTATGACAAAGAGATGTTTTTAAAAATGATGAAATTTTATAATAACGCTTCCTTTATGTTAATGAAAAAAGCTTATAATTATCTATTATTAATGACATACTTTAAATTGATATATTTAAAGATAAATAAGATTAAATTAGTAACTTAATTTTAAGAAAATTGAAAGGATATAAGTTTTAGTGACCTTTTAGGTGACGTCTCAATTGACAGGAGTTACACTGCTTATATAGAGTAATGAAACAAGGAGTAAAGAAGCAAAAAACAGTACGTAGTAGTGAAGATTTCCTCTCATTATAGAACCAAAACGAAATTTCAACCCTCGTTTGGAGGTAGGAAACAACTAAACTCAAAAGGAGTCACCACATGGTAAATGACCTTAACTATATCTCTAGATGGTGGGATAAATAACATTAAGAGCATAAGGCAAAATCCTCTGTTCTCCCGATCTTGAAAGTTATCAATACCGTGGAGCTGCAGCATAAAGATATAGAAGTGAGTCATGAAGTCAGCATAATCAAATATCAATCAGAGCTTATCAAATTTATGTTTCTACTAAACATTAGTCACAGGGGCCTACCTCCACCTACTGTTGCTTCAGGCAACCGCTCAATCGAATATTTGTGTTGAGTGATGTACATGATTGGCACACCAGGGATCTGCCCAGCAAACAAGCAACTTCAGATAAGAACCAATTTCATTTCAAATGCACAGCAAAAGATTATTCACTTGAGGATACCTTGCGGATTCTTCGCTTTAAATCTCGATCACATGTAGCAACAATATAGCATTTATGCTGTTCCCACACAAATGATCTAGTTAGTTACAATCAAAAGAACAGTTTGAATCGAACTACAACAGAATTATCATGAAAGGCCTCGTCATGGATAATACTTCCGCAGATAACAGACAAAGTAAATTACTTTGAAATACAGGCACGGAACGGATTATTCCTTGCCTATGGCCACTATTTGTGTAGCTTTTTTTTACAAATAAAAGAAGGTTTGATACAACAGCAAAAACAGATCAACATGAATATATAAGGGTAAAATTTTCTACAACTTCTGTAATTGTGCAAATACTCTCGAGGCTTTATTGTTTTTTGTTGTATTGTCAGAAAGATGGCACCTATAAATCTGGATTGATCCTCTCATCCTCCTCACAACATGAGGTACCATGTTTGCTAAATACAAGCCATAGAATTTAAAATAAACAGTTAAAATTTATTTATACTAGTCAGCAAGTGTTTAAGAGTGTTTTCAGTACTACTGGGAAGTGGTGGACATTCATCAAGTGATAAAATCCAGACCGTTCATTTGAAATCAACAGTCCAGATTTATCAAACATGATAGATCATCTTCCAGCCAAATCCATCTTAGCCCTTATTCTTAATTAAACTTCAAATGAACTGCCTAATAGAAGCTAACTTCGTCCTAAAAGTGGGAAAAAACAGTTCTGAAGTGGATAAGATTTTGAGAAAACAACAATCACCATGGACAGGAAACAATAGATATTTGAGTCAAATTGTACCTTGGTGACCCTTTCAACAATACAGTCATCAGCATAAGTACCCTTATGAATACAGGGAAGTCTCTCAAAACGTGGGTCCTTAGCAATCCTGTTAAGACACAAACACCCATCCTCAAAAATCTTGTAACCAGACACAATTTTGAACAGTACCAAACCAGTTGTTGGCCCCCAAATTGTGAAGGAAACACATTGTCAATGTACACTACAGGTACAAAACTTACAAGCAGATTAAAACACTGTCATAGACAGATTCAAGCACCTAAACTCTTGACAGAAACAATAGCAGAAAGAAAATCTATGGCAAAACTCAGCAACATGAAATCATACCTTAAAGCCACACGGTATTTCTGACCTAACTTCTCAAGTTCTGCCATCACACAGTCCGTTATACAAGGTGTGCCTTAAAATCCAAAGTGGAAGATATCAATAAACACCACAGTAAGGAGACTTTATCTCATTCCCTAACAAGTCTTACCACTCAGATGATTAACATATTATTTATATCAAAAGCATACAAGTTAGAGCTACTAAAAGAAGAAAGCAGAGGCTAGAGAACTCACATTTCGCATACAAGCAGTCCAGCATTGCCTTCTCTAAATCCAACTACAAAAAGCAAGCAGGAAACTGTAAGAGCCAAAATTCATTACGTATAACTATTTTCTGAGCTCTGAACTTACAACAAGAAGGTTGGTTCAACTTTTACAATTTCTTTAATCAAAATCAGATGGAATAAAAAAAAATACCAATTGCGTAAGACACTCACTTTATTCTGAATAGAGAAATTGATGAAGTTAGTATCCACCAAAACCCTGTATGGCGGCCCCAAAGCTGTGTTGTAGGAGAAGAAGAGAGCCGAAGAAACCTGTGGCCTGTATACATAAAAGAAAAGAAAAAAAAAACTTCAGCCCCAAATTTTTTTATACTTGCAACGAGAAAATTAATAATCATAGCAGCAGTGGTAGAAATAAAAGCTTACACGTTTCTTGGGAGCTTCTCGAGGGATAAGTCTTTTTTCTTCGGATTCAAAACCTCTTGTTTATGGCTGAATAAAAAATTAAGCACCAAAATTAATGAATCAATAACAGTTGCAGACAGCTAAAATCAGTAGGTCAAACACTGGGAAATAAAAGAAAAGGAAAGGAAGAAGTGCTTACTGCTTAATTGCTTTAGACGTAATCATCTTCTTCATTTTTGCAAATTTAGGGCCTTTTTTGGCTCTCCCCATCTCTTCGTTTGAAGATTAAAAACCTAAAACAGTACAAACCCTACTAGAGAGAGAGAAAGAGAGAGAGAGATAGAGAGAGGTGAGAGGCTGTGTTTGTAAATTGCAACCGACTACTGCTCCAAAAAAAGTTTATGCTGTTTTTCTCGGTAAAGATAGGCTGCACAGCAAAGTATATTCAGTTTGGTTGGTAATAGATGCACAGAGAGAGAGAGTGATGGACCAAGATCGGACCGTCTGAGAGTAGCTTTGGTTTCGGTCGGTGACGGTGAGGAAACAAGGTAAAAGGAGTCATCCGCCGCAGGGTTTTAGTTTAACCTAAATGAGGTATCTAAGCCCAAATTGAGATCAGCTCAGGTTCGTATATCAGATTGGGCTTGGGAGGTTATATATATTTTGAATCTGGCCCATCTAGGAGGGAAGATCTGTGCAGAGGGAGGCTTCCAAGGAATTTCCGCTTAAATGGGCAACCAAAACTACAACATAGTAAATATTAGTTTTTTACCCATACTACGCTACCGGTGAGATAAAACTAAATTATTTCAATTTGATACTTAATTGTGCAGTTTATTAAAATATATCAAATATAATGCAAAATAAATTATTAATTAATTTAATGATATTTTAATTAAAATCTTATTATTTAATCAATTTGTTCTTATGTTTTCTATAAATTTTAAGCTGAAAAAAAAAACATAATTTGTTCTCTTTCATCCATTGATTTTTAAATAAAAACATACAATAATCTAAATAGAAAATTGAATCCAAAATACTTAACAAAGCCTTAATATTTTTTTTCCATAAGGTTCCCCACACCCCCATATATATATTGCTTTCATTTAAAAATCATAAGAATTCTTCATATAAATTGTATTAATGTATTTAAAAATAATAATCACATTTTAAAATTTTATTTAAAAATGCATACAAAGAGAAAAATAAATCACATTTGCTTAATAAATAAAATTATATAAAAAAATAAATTAAGAAATTAATTGGATGTTTTCATAAAAATGACAAATCGAATAAATCATTTGAAAATCTAAAATAAAAAATTAGAAACTACAAATAAAAAAAAACATATTTTTTCATCCCTAACATGTATGAAAAACCAAAAACAATAACGAATATTTTTTCATAAATTTAGCACAAAATGTATAGTAAAAACAATAAAATAAATTGCTGGAAAAAAATCTAAGGATTTAAACGCAATATAAATAAAGTTGAAGATGAAAATAAATATTTTAGAAACATAAGAAACCAACATGTAACATTGAGTAAAACTTGTATATAAATGTTTGAAAACAATTCAAAAATCACAAAAATACAACTATATAGTGAAAATGAACATTGCACGTGAGTATGAGTGAATAGTACGTTGAGTATAGATAAATAGTGGTGTGAATAGTGATTTTCTTAAATCTTTTAGTATTCCACGCTATATCGTGGATCGGGCAGTAACATATAAAATTATTTAAGAAAATTGTTATAACTCAATAGCCTTCTTTATGGTATAGAGCCACTAAAATATCTCAAAAAAAAAAAAACCAACTTTATGCTTTTTAATCAAAATTTAATACCTTATCATTTTTTTCTTATGTTTTTTTATATAGATTTCTTGTTTAAAAAAAAAAGGTTTGTTTTCATTTATGCATTGATTCTTAAATAAAAATTTGTACTAATCTAAAATGCAAGTTTTAATTAATTGAAAATCCAAAAAAAGTAAATTTAATTATTTTTTCTTAAGATTGTATTGAAAAAATAAATAGCATAAAAATTTAAAAATTTTAAATAAAATTTGAAACATTAGTTGTAGCTCCCCGAGAGGGAGGCTAGAGCGCTACGATAGCATTGAACATTCGTGGAGCATTGGAGGCGGCTATAGCGCATTCGGTCGACGAGGGTTGGGCACGCCATGGTCACATTTCGCACTCGTCGAATGCTCGTCAATGCCCTATAACTTGAAATCATGTATGGACATACAATGCACAGCGAAAGATATTTGGCTTGAAAACCTAATTAATGACTCAATTCATATCTGAAATTTTTTCGTTGACGCAAAAGTTGTGTATCGACTCGGAATTTTGTTGACGCAAAATCGCACCAAGCGACTCGCATCTGCGGCAGTCTAAGTCTATCGCAATTCATGACGACTCTATCGTCATGTGAATTTGTAGCGAAAACTAAGGGTCTAGCAATGTGAACACATTATGAATGTTTTATGTGGGATCTTTAAATATTTGAGGCAACATAAACACAAGGAACATAAGCTTTAGGCAAAGTACTTCATTTCATTTAAAATAAACTTTTTACATGCTTGTCTTAGCTATAAGGTTGTTTACATTCAACATTTACAAAAAAACAAATCATGCTACACCATAAGCATCTATGAAAGTAGCCTATGACCATAAATGCCTAGATGAAAGTACACCTTTCGGTAAATTCTAAAAGCATCCAAAAATATCATTTTCGCGATAACCTACTCATAAGCATTGTTGCGATTACCTACACCACAAGACATAAAGAATAAGCTAACGCTCAACAAGTGCAATCATGCATGAATTTATGAAAGTATATTTTCATGAAGAAATTCGTTTTCCGTCTTTCGAACATGCCCTTCCGAATGTCTAATTCGTCCTTCTTTTAAAACCTTGAAAACCATGGAACTAGACAACATCTAGCAAAGGACCGACCTTGAGTATATACCGGATCAATCCCATGGATGGTCTCTTTATGTTCAACCCATGGATATACACCGATCATTCCTGCGGGTGACATTTACATATTCATTCAATGATTTCCTTTCTTGTTTAAAACATGAGTCATGAAACTAATGCTATGCCATGCCACGCCATGAATATATGCCTTTTTAATGCTTGAATAATCAAATATCATTAATGAATTCAAGTTAACTTGGTCGTGCTACTAGCCTCTACGCTTTTAACGTATCAAATACAAGTTATAGCCAAGCATGACGACCACTTAATTCAACATTTCAATAGAAACACAAACTAAGCAATTTTGGTAAAATCACAAGTCAAGCAATTTCGACAGAATCATACAAGCCAAGCAATTTCGACAAAATCATAAACCGGGCATTTTCGATAGAATCATAAGTTAAGTAATTTCGGTAAAATACAAGCTAAGCATTTTCGACGGAATCCAAGCCAAGCATTTTCGACAGAATACAATCCAATCATGGCATGATACAATCAAGCAATTTAAGCATTCCATTTGGCCACAAAGGCACACCGAGTTCTACCCATATTTGTTTGGGGTTTACATGGTAATTCTAGGCTCGAGTGGTCGATCCTAAGTCCAATACAACAAGTTTTCCATCCAAAACACAAACATAGCATAAATTCAATATGTCAAGAATGCCTAAACCTAGGTCTTATAGTATAGTTGAATGGATTACACTTACTTGTTTTAGAGTTAGAAGATAGAAAATGGCGACTAAATGCGGTCCAATAAGCTACAACGACTCCCACTTAAGCAATTCTCCCTTTTCTCTTACAGATTGTTCAAATGGTCAAAAGAATCGGTCATGGTCTCACCCTCTCTTTATATAGCTAGCCATGCAATAGAAAATTCTTGAGGATGACACGTCCTTGGCCAAGTCACCCATGCAAGATATAATGGTGACACCTAGCATTCCACTAACTCAAGAAAAAGTAAGTCTCTCTCAAACATCCAATCCATGTTATCAAGTCCCTTAATTAAGCCCAAATCATAATTAATGTTTCCTTAAGTGATTTTCATAATAAATGGATTGATATGTCACTATGTATGGCTGGACATAAAATTCATCAACGAAAAACGTATGCCATGACGAGTGATAGTTTTCGTTGACGTAAACTAGAATATCCGGACACAACATTTTTCGTCAACAAAAAATGGCTTGTCCAAACTTAGTCATTTTCGGATAGCATACTTGCATGACCTATGGTAGCAAAACCTAAGTTAAACATTAAATCATCAACGAAAACAAGTCTAAACACAACAGTTTCATCTTGAAGCGACAATTTCGACAACAAACCGACGCTTCGAGACGGTGCTATTTTCGACAACGAATTTGACATGTCTTGATGCGAGTAGCCTTTCGATAGCAACCACAAGCATTAGCAAAAATTTAAGCATCAATCATTAGTCAATTTAATTAGGCATCAAGTTAACACACAAAAGCATACATATGATATGTGCAAAGATGCAGGTCGTTAATTAGTTTTTCAAATTATATATATATATATTCTAAAATAATCAAAATATTAGCATAAAGAACTCTATTTGAAAAGTATGGTATTATCGATTGTTTTTTATAAAACATAATTTTAAATATTTTATTTTGAGAAAAAAAAATTAAAAATTAAAAAAAGCAAATATTAAGTGTTATGTGGTGCAATGTGAGTAGAAGTTTTGTTTATGATAATTAATGCAAATTGAATCTATAAATAAAGTAAAATTATTTGCTTTATATATATTTATTAACAAAATAATTTATAATATTAGCATAAAAATATGTATTTGAATGATTGGGAGATTCTCGCAAAACATTAACTAAACTATTTTATTTAAAAATATAGATTTTAGACTATGAAAAAAATTAATAACAATTAATTCGTGTTATATGTGCGGCTATATAATTAATTTTAACAAAACAATATATATAAGCAAATAACATCTATAGATTCTTTTTTAACTAAATATTAATTTTTTTAAAAAAATTAAGTCAAATTATCTAAAATAAATTTTTAGCTCTCTCTTTCATCGGAATTTATAAATATAACTATGCGACTCTCATTTAAAAATAAAAAATAATCAATTGTATAAATTAATATATATATATTAAAAAATAAAGTTTTAAAATTTTATTTCAAAATCTATTTTGTAAAAAAAAATTGTTAACAAATAAAATTATATTAAAAAATTAAAAAAAATCATTGGATGAGAATTTTAATAAGAAACAAACAATTAAAAAATAAAATTTAAACAATAAGAATGATCGATATATTCGAACTAAAATATAAAAAATATCATATATATTTTATTACTTCAAACTATACATAAAACTAAAAAAATAAAAAATAATGATCTATTTTCTATATTTGCACACCTAATTTCATAAAAAAAAAAATGTAAAAATAAATTATAGGGAGAAAAAAAAAAGGAAAAAAATTCAGGCATGTGCAACCAACCCAACCTAGTGCGAGTTGGGCTTGTGAGCCAAGCTTGTGCGCCAAGGCCGCTTTAACCTTCTTCTCCACTCAAAGCCTAGGCCGCTTGCCAACCCAAAGAGAAAAAAAAAAAAAAAGGCTCGGTATTTACGACGAGGCCGGACCAAAAAAAAAAAAAAAGCAACTCGCAACTTCGACGAGCTCGAGCTTGTCGAAAGGCTCGTTGAAAAATTGAAGTTCAATTTTCAGACCCCAAAAAATTCAATTTTGGCGTTATTTTTCTCTTAAACACCCCTAAATGACCGAAATAAAGTTAATAAACACTTTTAAGTCCTTAAAAATCATTTTAATGCAATTAAAACAAAAAATACATAATCAAATCAGAATTTTTTTTTCTTTTTTTGCTTCGATCAACATCCTCCAATTATTTAACCACTTAAAAACACTATAAATAAACTCATCCTTTAAAGACAAAAAAATTTAATGGACTTTCACCGGTCAAAATGGCCTAACACATGATTGGTCGACGCTCTCTCTCTCCTCTCCTGTCTCTCTCTTCTTTCCTCCCTCCTCTCAACATTTGAGGACTACAATGTATCAACAAATGAAGATATGAATCGAAAAGAAATAAAAATATCGGGGACCAAAGTATAAAAATTTGCATAACTTTCATATTATTACCCATGAAAGTTCGAAAAAATAACAAAAAAGCTAAGGAACAATAAATGAACGAGTAAACACATCGGTTCTTTTAGTTTTTTTTTTTTTTAAATAAACAAACTCTCTCTATATGTTTATGGACCAAACGACTATATAAATGAAACTACAAACCGAAACAAAAGTTTGAGATAAAATTATGGATCAAAGTGCAATACTTGTTAAAACTTCATATCAAATGTGTGAGTAAAAGCTAAAATCCACAATAATGGCATCACAAATATATAAATAGAGAATGAAAAATTACAATAATGCCAAGTAAACAACATACAAAAAAAAACTATAATAATGCCATGTGAATGGTAAACATAAGTATGAATAAATAGTGAATTGAATAGTAAAAACCTCATTTCTTTTAGATTTGTTGTTAATATGTTTTTTCTAAAAGAAAAAAATAAATATTTTTCATCGAAGAATCCTAACTTTAATTTTGTAAGCAAATGTGTCTTGGAGTTGGCTGAACTATATATATATATATATATATTGGTCAACATATTATATGATCAATTTCTTTTAATATAAATAAAGTTGAAGATGAAAATAAATAGTTTAGAAACATAAGAAACCAAAATGTATCATTGAGTAAAACTTGCATATAAATGTTTGAAAACAACTTAGAAATCACAAAAAATCACAAAATAGTGAAAATGAACAGTGCACATAGGTGTGAGTGAATGTGTATTGAGTATAGATAAATAGTGATGTGAATAGTAATTTTTCTTTTAGTGTTTCGCGCTGCACCATGGATGGCTTAAAACATGTAAAATTATTTGAAAAAATCTTTGTTGTTCGATAGCCTTTTTTATGTTATAAGTCCACTAAAATATCTTGAAAAAAACCAAATTTATGCTTTTTGCTCAATTTTTCTTACTTCATTTTTTTTTATATAGATTTCTTTTTTTTAAAAAATGATTTGTTTATATTTTATTTTGAGGAAAATTAAATTTAAAATAAAAAAAGAAAATACAAAAACTAATTCTCTGTATAGACTTTACACATATAAAAACTAATTCTATCTCTTCTTTTTTCACTTCTTAAATACACTTAATGACATAAAAAAAATAGAAATAAACGAGAAGGACGGGAAAGGAATGAAGGAAGTGTAATGACGAAAAAGAACAAAGTAAATAGAAAGTCAAAGAAAGAGCATATATAGGATGAAAAAATAAAATCTAAAATCCACTTACTTAATGACATAAAAAATAATAGCAAGAGAAAAGAAAGGTGTAAAACAATTGATAAAGAAAAAAAAAGAAGCAGTGTCTTTGTGTCTATAAATACTGTAGAACGCACGAGAAAATAAATGGTCGTTTTGTTTTAGTGTTTTTGTTAATATATAAGTGATTTGAAGCTTCATATTTTTAAAAAGTTTACTATAAAGTCATGTTACCGCACTTGTCAGAACTATGATAAGTACATACTCATTTTTATATTAAAAACAAATAGATGCAATCAGAAGCAATATCAAACAGATACTGAAAGTTATTGAACAACTATATGCATAATCGTAAAGCTTACCGTTCATTAAATTTTTTTTTTCAGAAAAATATGATGAGCATCGTTATATTTTGGTTGAAAAAAAAATGAAAAAGCAACGTTTTATTTCATACTGATATTAAGAACTCCCCTAAAGAGGAAACTCAGAAATTGCTCTTTGATTGTAGTTTTCATAACGCACAAGGATCAGGTCCTAGAAAAATTAAACACTGCTCCTAATTTGGGAACTATATCCATTTCGATCATCATGGTACTTATTCCAAAGCATGACACCTCCGTACTTGGAAGAACCCTTGACAAAAGGCAGCACTTGCGATTTGAGTAGGTCGGTTCCTACATAACCACTGCCTGCAGCCTGCTGAGAAGCTGGAAGCCCAACAAAGAACTTCTGGGCTGGAACAGATGACGTCCATTGGCTCCATGAATCCTTAAATTTCTTAGGATTATTGGCATTAAACTCACATGGACGATTGTTGTAAAATTGGATGTACACATAGTCAAAAAGTCCGGTGGCAAGTGCATCGTCGAGCCAATCATCAGGGAAAGGACACTGTGGTGCCGCGGTTAAGTACACTTTCCTGCCTCCTCGGCTGAGCTCAGACAATCTAGTGGCAAGAGCTACGTAGTGAAGTTTTCCGCCCTCTATGTCGAAGTCTATGCCATTCAAAACGGCATCACCTAGTGGCCTTGAATTTGATCGTCCACCAAGGAAGTTGTTCCATAAATATTCTGCTACACCCCTAGCTTCAGCATCAGAAGTTAAGGTGTAGCCACTAGTTCCACCACCAATGGAAAGCATAACTTTGATGCCTTGGTTTTGGCAATTACGGATGTCGTTGCTCACTTTTTGGCAACCGTTTGAGGATGGGTCACAGTGACCAGCTAAGTTGATTTGAGGCTTTCGGCCGTTGCCAAAAATTGAGAGAAAGGCTATGTTTACGATATCATATTTTCGTGAGGCACATGTACTTGTGAGTGTGCCTTCCCTCCCATCTTGGCCCCAATAAACCACTATGCTTCCAGCTTTTGTTTTGAAAACCAGAACTAGCAGTATGACATGGAAGAGAATTGCAGATTTTGCCGAAAATTTAGTTCCCATTTTCGAACTACTTAATTGAAGATTTTTACTGAGCTTTGATGCAAATGAGTTCTGAACGAGCAGCCTTTTTATAGAGGTGAGAATTAGTGGAAGCAATTATTGCTGTTGCAGTTTTTCCATGGCTGTTGTTCATAGTCATATGGTCCAATCCAATTATTGCTGTTGCAGTTTTTCCATGGGTGTTGTTCATAGTCATATGGTCCAATCCTATTAGTAAACAGGCTGGCCTTGAATTATAAGCTCAGACAATCGTCTGAATTCGCTTCCCTCGACCTTAAGTCAAGCTTTTCTTCTTCTTCTTTTTTGTTTTTTGTTTTTTTTGTTTTTTTTGACGAATTAATAAGCACCCAGTGTTCATGAGAACCACTTGGCGAGAAAAAACAAAGTCTGCAAAGAGAGCAAACTTAATCAAGATCATAAGCTAAACAGCACCAGTGCTGCAGGAATAGGCAAACTTGAACACCTTAACATGTTTCCCCAGCAGCCCAGAATGAATGGCAGAAGAAAGCGGGACCCTGACAGCACTAAAGGAGGCAAGAAGCAAAATGGGAAAAGTGCTTAATGTTGCTTGACCTGAAGTCAACCCTGTCTGTGTGTTTGTTTCTACTAGAAGTAATTTCGGAATTTCTTCAATGTACTAGGAAAGTGAGAACTATATGTACAGAGATGTTAATTTTTATGGAAAAACTTCTTTTTTTATGAAAAGATAAGATTATTTTTGGATTAACTTATGTGTTAATTGAGACTAAATCTTTTCTTGAATGATTAAGGATGCATCTTTTATATTGGCTTAGTGCATTCATAAAAATTTAATAATTTTTATGTTTTGGATACTGATTTCAAGATTTGACTCTAGAAAATTAAGAAAAGAGTAAACTTCTTCAATTCTTTGGAGTTATTTTTGTAGGAAAAATAAGACTGATTGGTGACAAAATTTTAAAATTCAACATTTTTAGATTGTACCATTTACCAACACAATAATGCTCCAAAATTTTACCTTATCGGATCACTTTTTCCCCAATTTCCTAATCCTAACACCATCTTGGTGCAGTTTATATCACATTTAAACATAAAGGAATAAAGAGCCAGCAGAGCCAATAGACCCCTAAATAAATGTAAGAAAATATCCCCATTAATTGAACTTGAAGTGTGGTGGATGACTTATCCTCTGAAAGGTGGATAAATGTCAAGCACTAAAGGGCATTACTTCCAAATTCCATTTCGCACTGACATTGGAAAATATTGGAGTGAACAAGCGAAAGTGGGGGGAAATCCTAGATTGAAAAGTAATCGAAATCTGTAAGAATGACTTCTGATCATGGTCCATGCTTCCAAGTCAGCAAGTTTGTGGAAATAGGCTCACAAAACTAGAAAAAAAATTATAATACTAAAAGAATAATTAATGATACGTATGGTAGTTATTCTATGAATTCATTTGAAAGAGAGAAATAAATACTTAAAATTACATCTGAATCTATAAAAAATAATAAGAAAATTTTTATATTCGTTTAATTTTTTTTTAATTTTTTTATGTCTATCTTTTTTTTATATGTATTCATGAAGTAATTATTATACATGTTATTAATTACTATGAGTATTTTGAAATTTCTCACCAGCCAGAGAGCCACCGGCAGTTTCATACTTATTTGTCAACTTATCCACCGTGACCTGATCAGCTCCCAATTTCTTAAAATTTAGTATTGATTTACCCACAAATATAAAAGCTCCTAAGACGCTTTTCTTTAAGGAAATTGACTCGTTGACCGCGCAAGAAGGCACCGTTAGTAAATTGTGGCCAATTTAACACAATAACGTTTGTAAATAATTACTAATTACTAAATATACTAAAAGAGAATAAATATATATTCATTGTGCTTACATTGTTCACTCAGCGTGCATACACTTTGCTTTCACTATTTTTTTTTTAATAGTCATTGTCTGTAAAATAACTATTCATTTATAGTGCAATTACATTATTTGTTGAAAATGTGCACTTTAATCCAATTTTAATTTTTTTTTATTTGTAACTTTAATTTTAGTTCATTTTGGTCCTTATAGCTAAGAGGAGAGAGGAACAAGGGAGAGAGAAGGGAGGAATAACGAGGCCCATTCCAGCCACTCGACAATCGAGCTTAATGCCAATTTGCTCGTTTAGAATAATAAAATCTATTTGTTGTGGCGGTGGTAAACCATGACATGGTTGGAGGAGGTAAATTAGGATCCAAACATATTTTAATTTTTTTATGTTGATTTGAATTTTTGTGTATTTTGTGTGCATTAAAATGGGTTTTGAGGTTTTAAACGGGTTTATTTATATCATTTTTGTAATTTTGAGGTATTTTTTTTTTAAAAAAAACAGAGCTGCATTTAGTTTTGGGAGGCTAAAAACTAAGAAATCTCATTTTCGACAAGTTTTCCAACAGTATCGAGTTTGTCGAAAATTACGGACGTTGTCGAAAATTAAAACTCGATCATTTCTTTTTTTGTTTTTTTTTTTGCCTAGGCCTAAGCTAGCACACTTGGTCCTTGGTTTTTTTTTCTTTTCTTTTCCTTTTTCTAATTAAGAATTTTTAGGAAAAAATTATGGAACATTGAATATTATTATTTTTTGTTTTTCACAATACGTAGCAATAATAAAATATATGTACTATCTTTTTATATTTTAAAATTAATATATATTTCAGATTATATTACTCATACTATTTAAAATTTATTCTTTGAATTTGTCGAGTTCTTATAAAAATTCTTATTCAATTAATTTTTTAATAAAATTTTATTTATCGATAAATATGATTTATTTTTCTCTATATTTGAATTTTTGAATAAAATTTTAAAACATGATTTTTTTTCTTTTTTTAAATAAATTGATATAATATATATCATGAATCTTTAGATTTTTTAAATTATAGTTGCACACACACACACACACACACACACACACACGCACACACACACATAAAAGATTAAAAGTATATTTTAAATAATTTGTTTCAATTCACTAGGTATGATCAAGACGTATAAAAAAAAAGCTATTGAATCATTGATTTTATTAAAAATTAACTATACATCTTCACACATAACACTAATTATCTGCTATGAATATTTTTTTTAATATTATAGAACTAATTTCCTTAAAATAAAATAATTAAAATGTTTTGTTTAAAGAAACCATTCAATTATTCAAATACAATTTTTTATGCTGACATTATTGATTATTTTGTAAATAAATAGATATCGATCAAATGCATATGCTTTCAAAAAATAATATTCTCATCAGCATTAAATAAGAATAAATTATTTTTTTTATTTTTTATTTTTTATAAAAGTCTATCCATTAATTATAATTTTATTTTTGGGATACAATCGTATGAAAAAATATATTTTATTTTTTTATTTTTTATTAATATTTTAATTTAAATTATTATAATTTTTTATTTGAGAATCAATCCTTAAAGAAGAATGCATTATATTTTTTTAAGTAAAAAATTTATAAAAAAAATTAATTAAAAAAAAATTTAATTAAAAAAAAATTGAAACGATTTTGTTCGTTGGACTAACGGCGTAGTGCGAAAAACCAGCTAGTATATTACTATTTGGCACTCTCATACTACTAATCCCATACTAACATTTTGTAGTTTTATACTAGTTGACTTACCACATTATGTTGTGGACCGAACAAAATATATATTTTTTAGTTTCATACCACGCACTATGCTATCGATCGACTAAAACATATAAAATTAAAGGTAAAAAAAGAATAATCTAATTTCATATTTTTTTAATAAATTTTTTTCATATAAATTTTGTAGTTAAAAAAAAACACGACATGTTTTTTTTCTTATGTATGTATTCTTAAATAAAAACCTACAATAATCTAAATATAAAATTTTTAGAAAGCATCTTAATAATTTTTTTAAAAAAAATTACATCGAAGAAATAAAAAAATAATTAATATAAAAAGTTGTATAAAATTTAACAATGAATCTTTTTTATTGTTATCTAATGTTGACGTGAAGACTAACTTTTTAAAAATATGTACATTTGATTTATATATATTTATTTATAAAATAATTAGTAACATTAGTAACAAAAATTGTATTTGAACTATTAGATGGTTCTTCTAAAATATTATTTTATTTGAAAAAATTAATTTTAGAATATTTAAAAAATTAATAGCAAACAGTTTGTGTTATGTGTGTAAATGCATAGTTAATTTCTAATAAAATCAATTATTCTTATTTTTTTATACGTCATGACGATACTTAGTGGACTAGAGTGTACGAGCATAAATAAAAAAATATTAAAAAATAAGTCATAGGGAATATATTGAAGTTAATAGATTGCAATAAGAAAAACCATAAAAATTGATTCCAATAAATTTTTATTATATAAAGAACAAGCAAACAAAACACCTAAATTTTTTTTAAAAAAAAATTATTCAAAAATTCATAAATAAAAGAAAATAAATCAATGACAAATTGAAAAGTTTAATTTTAAACAATAAGAGGAATATAATTCGATAATATGTTCATTTTAAAATCTGAAAATATAATATATATATATATATATATTATAATCGTTAGTCTATATAAAAAATTGAAATAAAAAATAACAACTATTTTTTATAATTTTTGCACCCACTTGAAAAACAAAGTTGCTTAAGGAAAAAAAAAAAAAAAAAAAGAGGCAAGCATGCGCTCCTAATCCATCTAGGGACATAAAACTTATTTTGGAAGCATCAAGAAATGGAACACAATATCAAATTTGCACATGAACTATAATGCCCGTCAATCGAGACTCCTCACTCGAAGGGTCACGATCGAACCGGTTGATACTAAAACTTATATCATTTTTATTTTCTTAAAATCAAGTTCCTAATTTAATCCTATTTATCTTTAAATATGTCAATTTAAAATATGTCATTAATAATATATGACTATAAGATTTTCTCATTAACATAGAGGAAGCGTTATTCTAAAATTTCATCATTTATAAAACATCTCTCACTATAATTAATCATTCCTAAATAATCTTGTCCCAATAGTCATACTCAAATTCCAAGTAAAATTTTTCAACATTTATAGGTTTAACATCAATGCACTTATTATTTTAAAAATAAATATTTATTTAAAGCATAACCTAATAGTTAGGAACACACAAAGCTAGGCATATGAGTCGTTAGTCGTTGGAAGCAGCATCAACATCCTCAACATTTGCATCATTACCTACACCATAAAACAAACGTAAGATACGAATATCCCAATAAGTGTAACATGCATGATTTTACATTAAAATTTTTTATACATGAATATCTTTAAAATTCTTTTTCTCATTTGGGCTCGTTAAAAGATACTAACATCGGTTAGCATGATATAGCCTCAATAAAAACATGCATAAAAACATTAACCTTATCATTTAACAATCAAACCTTAACCTTTAAACCTCAACATTTATGCCTCATAGGCAACCTCAACCTTTAAACCTCAATATGCATTAAAAAAATAACCTCATTCATTTACTTAAAACATTTTCTTTCAATCAATATGTAAAACATATACATGCGTATGAATGCACCTCAAGACCATCACATCATATCACATCAATCACATAAAAACACATAGCATTTATGTCTATGGTGTAGGTGAGGTACACTTACTTGATTCGCTTAAGACCACTCGTTTATTGTAACCTTTCTCTAAAAATCGATACCTCGACTTGATTTAAACCTTGAACATACACACCATATAACATAAGAAATTAAATATTATTATTTTATATCTAATCATTTAATTTTTATTAATTCCTATTCTTTTCTTGTAATTTCTCTTAAATTAAAAATCCTAATTAAATCATCAACTCTACTCTAATTTATTCAATTCTTCTCTAATTATATTCATATAATCTAATGTTATTAAATTTTAACTTAACCTTTTCAATTCTTATTTAAATACACTTAATCGTCAAATATTCTAATAAAAAAATTAAGATTTTAATACTAAAATATAATTTTTTACTAATCAATCCTAAATCATAAAATTTCAAATTCAATTCTACCTAAAATCATATAGAAACAAATAATTAAATTAAATATTCTTCTTACCTTCAATATTGAATCACCATGACTTGATTCTTCTTTCAAATATCTTTGACTTCACTTCTTACTCAATTATATTCTCTCTCCCTCTCTCTCTCTTTTGAAATATATGCTTATGAAATAGCTTTCCTCAATGAGG